CTTCGTAGGAGAGGCGTTCCATCCCCCTGGTTGGATGGTTCCATCCAGTAACCACCGTGCTCCAGCCCACGCTGTGCTGGAGGAGGGAATAGGGACTTGTCTCAGGCAATGAAACTGGGGTTTGAGGTCCAAAGAGCTGCTGACATCAACGCTGCCGGGCCAGGTGTTTCGTTGGACGCTATGGGACCATGATGACACATCGGTCGAGGTGCCTGTGGGAGCTCTGGTGCTCCCTTCCCCTTCCCAATCTGTGCCCCTCGCTGCTTTCTGCCCCCCCAGGGCTAGATCAGCTGCCTGACAGAGGTGTTGCAAGCTTTCTGCTGTCGATGCTGTTACTTGAGGTCTAGGATGGAGCTAATTTTATACCTTCACACCCTAGGTAAACCACAGCGGTGGCTAATCTGGTAAGTGCTGTTATGTTTAAAAAGCACAGGCCCTGTTCCCACTACGGTTACTCAAGGAGCAGTACAGAGCTCAGATGATGCCCCTCGTTAATGCAGATGCAGCCACAATTAGGATTTGGCCTGACCTTCCCAAAAACGTGGAACTCCAGGCCAGTGCACCAGGACAGCAGAGTTTGGCCAGAACTGCGGGCTTGTGGCTGCGAAAGATTCACGCAGAGAGCATCAAGCTTTGTATCTGACTCTGCAAACGCTCACACACGACGTTACCCCACAGAGAGCTCCAGGAGGTTTCCCACAGGAGACCCCCACGAGCGTGCAGACCCCGTGCACACCCACGCTGGTGCAGGGGTGGGATGGTGGGAGCGGCAGAGAGCTGCTCTTTCCCAGCACCTCCGTGAGCTCTCCTTGTGATCCTGCTCCAGGAATTTATTCTTAGTCGGAGGTGCTGGAGTGCACGCCGACGATGCGCATCAACTGCTGATTTAGGCAAGCTCCAGCCCTTGGTCGGCCGCTCCGGGAGGATGAGACAGATCCGGGCGCATCCAGACTTGGCGGCAGATCAAAGGCAGGTACTGACACTGGTTCCGGCTGTTCCCTCCACGCCTGTCCTTGCCTGCGGCAGTTAATGCGTAGTGCTTTGCCGCATGGGAACTTGGCTCTCTGGAGCAAAAGCAACGCTCTGGTGAGCTGCTTCAAGGAGGGACGATGCAGTCCTGGAGTTGGTGAAAAGCGATGACACTGTCATCGGCAGGGATGCGGCCCCACGTCTCCTGGGAGCTGTGCACAGGATGAGAGCCCTTGCGACAAGGCTGTGGCACGGAGCCACAGAGACGGGTGGAGGTGGCCCTTTTCCTCCCTGCCTAGGTGTGGTGTGGCTCGTACCTGTCCTGATGCCTGATCAGGGACGACATTGAGTTAACGAAGCTGACAAGGATGCCATCTCCCATCAGTGCACTTCCACCCAGCACATTTCCTTCCCAGTAGAGACTGGCATTTGGCACACTCCCCATTCTTGCTCTGCCTGCGGATCGCAGGGAGCAACAAGCAACTTTGCCGGGGTCACCCGCGAGGCTGCAGCGATTCGTACCACAGCCCCCACGTGCCTCAATGAAAGACAGAGCCCCAGCCTCTGGTGCAGTATGTTGCGAAGGTCTCGCTCCACCAGAAAACCTGTGCAGAGTGGAGGGATTCCGTGTGTCCAAGTGGACCGGCCAGGATGGCACAGGGTCAGGCAGGGACCCCAAATCTGCATGGGGACTGCATGGGGCTGTAGGAGCCATGCCGCTGCTCAGGACCACCCTGCTGCATCCCAGTGCAGTGGGAAGGAGGAGGAGAGGTGATGAATTTGACCTGCAGCTCCTGCGGGGCCAGGGCCACCACGGCCATCACCGCGAGGGCTGCAGCCACCCGACCCCTCCCTGTGCGTCGGCGAGGCTGCGTGGGACTGGGGCATGGGGCCACGCAGTCACCCTCCTGGGCACACAGAGCCACTTTGTTCCGGGGCAGCCGCACTGCTCCACTGGCACCCGGCCTCTCTCACAGTCAGGCATAATGAAAAATAATTGTAAAAAAAAAAAGGAACACTGTAAAAACTGGGGGGGGGGAAGAGCTGTGTGATCAAATGCTGAAAGCCGCACGAGTAGGAAATAGATTGTAATCTCCCTAACGAACTGCAGTTAATCAGGGTGAGCAACTGTGAACTGGGGTTTGATGCAGGGCTTGCTACCAGCGTCTTTTCCAGAGGGGACCCTTATGTGATCGGGGGCTCTGTACCCCCTACAATAAAGACCGCAAAGTGACAGGTGAATGGGAATGTATTTAAACAGAGGTGCTTGGAAAAACTAACCCTGATGTTGGCATGGGGAGTATTGCAGTCCAAGGGCAAAGACCTAAACGAAGCCCAGAGCACCGTTACCTTCCTATGTAAGTACTTAATTAATCCTAAGGAGGTGTTGGCCCTTCCAGAAGATACCCCTGTGTCAGCCCTGCCACCCAGTTCATCGTCTACGGCCAGTTCACCAGCATCTGTGTCCCTCTTGGCCTTCCACAGACCAACCCAAAATCCACTGGTGGAACATCTTTCCACGGGTGGTGTCTGATTTCTTTTAATGGGCTCTTTTCTACAGCGGGAATCAAAACCCCACACTGCCGAGGAAGGAGGTCTGGTGCCTGCAGGGCCACAGATGTGCGGGGAAGGAGGTCTGCGGGTCAGCGGCTCCAAAAGCTTTATTGCTTGTTGGTTTCTGCTAAGATCTACGTGACTCCAGTGACTAACAACCACTTTCAGGGAATGCACGTGTTAGTTAAGGACACCCCGGCCTTTCTGCGGGGGCGGCGAGAAGGCACCGCTTAGTCTGCCAAGGCTTCTCCGGCAGCCGCCGTTGCAGGGCCACGCACCCAGGGGTGCAGCAGGCGATGCAGAAGGGTTGCTGGTAGAAACCAAGGGGGAACTGTAGCCCTGGGCCACGTGCTCCAGACGCACCGGTGGCTTTTTTTTTTTTTAGGCAGGGTGGAAACCAGAGTCTGGGGAGTTGAGTCCAGGTCCCACACCTGGGCAGCCCAGAGGAGATGGCCTCGCTGCCTTCTCCCCAGCGTTGGGCTGTCTGAGCCTCCTGGCACATCGTGGCTGCAGCCCTTCCCTGAAGAAAATGGGAGCATCTCTGCCTTATATGTAGTCACCTATAGGCTCTGTGCTGGTCCCCACTTGTCTCCATCCAGAGAGGGCCGTATTGACTGCGTCCGCTCGGAGGGACGTGCTGGGACTCTCAGTTCCCTGCTGGGCTCTGCCATCCTGCTGGGCTAGTTGGTGGGCTCTGTGGCCATGGTGTCCGCATCCGGACACGGCGGCACGCCGCTGTTCCCACCGTTGCTCACGTTTTCCTTGCTGTTGTCCCTTGTGGGGTCGCTACCTTTATCCTCCACTTTCTGCTTGAGTTTGAGGGAGGAATCTCTCTGGGAGAGGAGGGGTTGGTAGCCAACGAATCCTCCTCCGCTCACGTTTGTACGCTTGTCTGGGGACGGACAGAAAAAGAAGATTGTTTACCTGGGGTCCAAATTGACCTTTCAGCTAAGGGGTGCAGGGTCTCTCCTTGCGAGAGGCATTGGGGTATCTTCTCTGAAAGATGGGGGTCCTTCCAGCCCCCGGATGCCCCCAAAGAGGGGAAGATGGGTGGGAGACTGGGCTTGTGCCTCAGCATGGCTGTGCTCAGGAGGGGCAGGGGAGGGGGTGATGGCCGGTCTCCTACCTCCCGGCCCGATGGGGTGCATCAATCGGTTCATCTGGACGTTCCAGTGCTTGACGTTGGTGCTGGCCTGTCGCAACTTCCGCTGAGCCGCCTGCGAGGGGACCGAGGAGAGGGGTGAGCCGGCCGCCTGTCAGCCCCCAACCCGGGACCGTGGGCAGGAGTTTCCCTTCCCTGAGTAAGCCTGGGTTGGAGGCTCCCTCTGGGATGGAGACCCAGTTCACCCTCCTCTAGGTCTTCTGCTCCTCCTTCAATCCTCCCCCCTCCACACACTCCCACTGTCGACATTGCTCTGGACACCAGCGCTGTCCCCCCGGGGCAGGACACGCTTGTCCCATCTCGGCCATGGAATCACCCCGTGCCTGTGCATGGCACAGCTCAGAAAACCCCCGAGGCAATGCCAGCTTTGTCCCCAACGCTGCTGGGTCCTCCCCAGTGTGGAGGTGACTCAGGGAGGGCTGGGAAGTCCCCCGGGGCTCGCAGCGTGAAGAGATGTGGCACTGATGTGATGCTCACCATGACGTCTTGGTCCACCCGCTGCCTGTTCACTCTCACTTCTTCCAGCTGCTTCTGCGCCTCTTCCAGACACTTGTTCTTGTTCTCCATCTCCTGCTTGAGGACTTGCTTCTCCCGCTGAGTTTTGATGATGTATTCCTCCTGCTCCTCCTTCAGCTTCATCAGCTGCTTCAGCTTCTCCTCTTCCTCAGCCAGTAGCCTGTCAAGGAAGAGCAAGAGGTGAGGATGTCCCTCTGCACTTCATCCACCAGCTTCCCCCACCCCTTCCGGCATACTGGGAAGTCACCAGCACACCCCAGTACCCGGGGGAGCACTGCATTGCCCTGGGGAGCGTGTCCCCACGCCCAGCCAGTCCCCTGGGAGTGGGACTGGTCGAGGAGGAGCAGGGATGCCCTGGTCCTACCTGGCCTGCGCGTATCTCACGGATTCCTCATCCT